GTGTGTGTGTGTGTGTGCGTGTGCGTGTGCGTGTGTGTGTGTATATATATATATATAGAGTTCTAAAACCACGCGCCGACTAAATTTTTAGTTTGATAACACAATTCGGTTAACAAATGTTTTTTTACAATAAATTTTGTAGAATATGGCATCACTTTCGTTAAACTTAAGATTGGATATTCATAAAGTTTATTTTTATGTTAATATAACTTTGTAATTGGTTATTATACCCTTAAGATGTCACCAATCATAAACCAATCATAGAGTTGTATTAGTAAAATATTATTTAAGTCTTAAAATATTATTTAAAATGAAATTATTATTAGTAATAATAATAATTTCATTATTCTAAATAATAATAAAAATATTATTTAGTCTTAAAATATTATTTAAAATGATTTTGAAAAAAGAACAAATTATAAATACTGACTTTGCTAAAAAAAAGTTGATAGAGAACTGCTAAAAAAAATTGATTGAGAATGGATTTCTATGAAAATGTATAATATTTTATAAGTTGTATCATTAATACGTTCACCAGATATGAATTCTATCATACTTTTTCTATAAGATTCATATTGTATAGAAAATAAACATGAATTCTATCATTATCTATCGTACTCTATCCATTGTATTTAATGCCATAAAATCTTACCTAATATAATGCAATAAAAAATGCCACGAAAAATGTAACAGGACTTTCTGCTTCTACTATGATTTATACGAGTTACATAAAGCTTACCACAAAAGAGTTGGACGCACTTTATTTTCGGATGATCCACAGCGACAGCATAAAGCTCCAATCAGTAACGAAAGAATTGGTAAAATACACAGAGCAGTAGCTGCACATATTAAAAGTAATCAGAACATACGTTACATTAGCCACTTATTCTTATAAATGACACCTAATATATAATACATACGTTTCGTGTTTTATTATATTGATGTTTTACTGCTTTTTTATTTAATAATTATTTGTTGTATGTAAACCCCCCGTTATTTTTATTTTTTATATGTATTTAATTGCATAATTTGAATACATTATCCTAAATCTTATTTAAAACGCAATATATGTATACGTCTTATTTTAAAAAATGTAACATATTATACTGTATGTAACTTCAAATTGAGTTATTTTCTTACAAGCGTCACTCACTTGGAAATGCTTTATATGATCTCTACAATCATTTTTCAAATATTAGTGCGGTTAAATATAAACAGAAAAATATTCAATGTGATCTTGAAAAATTTTATGTACCTGTTCCAATGATCCATCTGATTTGTTCGAAAGCGATAACGTGCGGTACAACGTAATCCGTGATGTTCTTTACAGAGTCTATAAGCTGCTTTGAGAGTTCAAAACTGTTCTCTATAGTGCGCGTGTGATCGACAATCCTGGCACGTGCTGCATTAATCTCGCGTCGAATCTCTACAAAATATTAAATTTTGAAATATAAAATATTTTATAATTTTCAATAAAATATTCATAATTTTCAAAATATAAAATATTCATAATTTTTCGCAGTTCTGTATACAAGAGCGTCAGTGTCTTTGTAAAAAAAATATTCACGAAAAATATATTGAAAAATATACTCATACAGCACACTACACATTGAATCAATATCTCAGAAATGTTGAATTGCAACATTGCGAACATTGTAACAACATCGCGAAATGTAGATTCAATGTTGAAGAGACTTTGCTTTAATATCCGTTGAATTGCAATGTCTGTAAGACGTAAAATATTTTTTGCATATTAATTCAGTTTTATTATTAAAATAAGTATTATTACTGAACATTATATTTCGGAACACACACACGACAAAATTATAATTGAAAAAAAAACCGCTTTTCTCTTTATTTAGGAATTAATTTTCTTATTTTCCTAAGCAGTCACTCATCCACTCTTGTATTCCATCCAAGGCATTGAATCTCTGCAATCGTGCGGGAACTGCTGCTTCGATGATCCACGAATACTGAAGGTTAGTGAATGCATAACTGTGACATATAGATATGTAGAAAGACATTAGTCGACATCGCACATCAGACTGGTCAAACACAAACAATACCACACATGCGAGCATTCTGCACGTGCGGTGATTCCCGTGTAAACATATATCATTTAAAAATAAGTTTCGTTAAAAGATCAATTTAAGTGATTTAAATTTTCTATTTACATGATATTTTATTAATGTTTATTTTTTACCAAATGAAATAGATTTTAATATATAAATTTATTGAATGTCGTTTCAAGCATTAATATAATCAATGTGGAAAATCAATAAAAATTCAATTTGTGGTTCAATTTATTCAATATTGTTTCAATATATAGCAGCATTAACAATCAATGTAGAAGAATCAATATACAGTGAGTGCAAAAAGTATTCGTACAGAGAAAATATTTTTTAAAAAAACTTTATTTTTAAAAAGTAAATATTATTCAGTGAAAATGAAATGAATGAATCAATTGATGTTGAATCAATATATAATACAATAAATACGATGATTTCAACAATTTATTCATCGATTCGAGGTTTATTTCTTGTTGGATAATTAATAATTTATTCATAAAAACTAAAATAGATTATACGTTTCTTAAAATTATATATACCAAAAAAATGTATATTAATTATACAAAATGTATCATCTGAAAAATAAACGAAAATTAAAAATTGTATTGTTTGTGAATGCTCAAAAGTATTCATACAGATGAGAAATTTAGCTTCTAAAATCAGGAATACATGTGAAGCTCATTTGTTTATGTTAAAATGTATTCATTGTATAAAATTGCTAATTAATATTTATTTTCTACAAATAAGACTTTTTTTATAACAAATTTCTTTTTATGAATAATTTTTGCTCTCACTGTGGATAGAACATTGCTAAAACATTAACACTTTAAAATTCAATATCTCAGCATTGCAATATCTCAGCAATATTCTTTCAACGTTCTGTGCTATATGGGAGATATCTTAATATATGCGTTGAATTTTGATAATGTAATTCTTAATATATTAAAAATAAATATCATTAATCCTTTAATCAAAGATAAAATATCATCAATTTTATCTCAGTGACAAAGTAGACATAGTTTGTATTTGTCAAAGTTATTGTGAAATTAGCATAATTACCGCGTAAAATAACAAGATTCTCAGGATAATTTCATATTATTTTCATAATATTTCACTGTTCCGAGGACAAAGTTTCTCAAGTAATAATTTTCACTCTAACTGACTGATGAATATTATTAACACAATAGTAACATCTTGCTCTTTCTATAAAGAAGTACGAGTTACTACATGTCACTTCTATAGAATTCTGCACCGAGTCATTCGAAAGTTTATCTTGTAATAACACACAGAATACATTATTCCAGTACCAAACTTTCTTCATAATAATCCAGAGTCTTCATCGCGTGCAGAAAGTGCTTGGTAACAACCTCCGATTGACAGACGTTGAACTTGTTCGACTTTATCGTCCCGGCAAGAGGACGAACCTTTACAAATTTTTTGCAACTTTTTTTTCACGTAGTAATATTAATGCGATATGGATTTCGCATTAGATGTCGACCGTCACCGCTCTATCGGATCTGTCTGCCGATAGATAGCGGCGGGTGACAAACATTATTGGTCGATAGCGAGTTGAGAGAAGTCGACAGGAGTACAAGTCCGCGTCGTTTCGGTTCATCGACATTCCAGTGCTATAGCATCCATCATTCCTCGTTCCTTCGGGAATCTTCTCAATTTTCTTTATTAATAATTTCTTTGGCATCCCTATGCTTTATTAATCGAAAAAACAATGTTCATCATCCAACAACACGGATTTTATATGAT